CTAAAGAAGTATTTGTTATTGAGAGCACCTTATATATCTGCTCTTTTCCAGTGGTAGCTTATCTGGAAAGTCTGGAAATTCCAGGTCATGGGGAAACAGGTCTTCTGAACAGGAAAGAGTACCCTGGAAAGGACCATCTCCTATGCCAAAAACTTCTCGTCCTCCTCCTGGCTTGAGTGGTCAGAATAAACAGATATCTTCAAATTGGATATCTGGTGAAAGTGGACCTCAAGGATGGTCAAACTCTGGTGTGTGTGTAAAGTAATAATATAGAACATATACAAATATATATATATATGTATAATATTGCTGCAAAGAAAATATTTTCATTACTAATTTATATTTTTTTACAGGAATATTAATTTATTAAGTAAATTTTCAAAGTATTTGAAAATTAATTTAGGAACATATTGAGTTGCTAAAGTAAAATCATTTTTAATTTGTTTGCAAATGTGTCTGTACGTAGGAAAGAGCAAATATGACTTAATACATTCTGGTTAATATTCCATGTGCAGAAAATTTTCATTTACAGATATAGAAAAATAAAAAAAAAATATTTTAAAAACTGACATCATTAATTCTTTGTGTTCCGTAGCAATCTGTTACAATTTCTTTCACATAAATACTTTTCTGTATTGTTTTAATATGGTAGTGAAAAAGTTAATTTGTAATATTACTTAAATATCTTTCTGCTGCAATCTAATACAATATAATTTTATTATATTCATTTATTGATTTAGAGCACAATGAAGTATTTTTATGTTTGGGTATGTATTACAAATTTTAGTACAAGTAAGACCCAGCTTAGTGCTGTTGTATTTTATGCTGTTTGAGTATTATGCGGTGGTATTGGGATTCCCCAAAATTGTATGTGGTGTCAATATTGCTGGATTAGTTTTGGATTTAATGCTGCAAAACATCATTTAACACCGAGTAGTAATGCTAGTGGAGACTTTAATTTAAAACCACAGCTTAGATATCAAAATTTAAGAGCATTGAAGGGAATTTCAAAATCATCTTTACCAGTTTGTAAGTCCAATAAAAAAATCTTGAATCAGTATAATAATTTTCAAGAATTATCTATCCAAACATTTTTGCTGCTTGTCTGTTAAATGCTACTGCAGATTAAAAAAAAAAAAAAAAAAAAATGGAAATTAAAGCTTTGTTTTTGATTGATAATTCTCCAAGCCATCCAGCACATTTGTCCAGCTTAACAGCGTGTATTCCAGTAGAAGTGCTTTTCTTCCTGCCAAACACAACTTTGTTAATCCAATCAATGTTTCCAGGCATAATATCAAATTATTATTTTTAGTGGCCATTGATAAATCCGATGGAGAAGATAAACAATCCTTTGGAGATTTGGGGGAAAATTACAATATTGGGGAATCTGTAGACAGTAGTAATCTTTTCTGGAATGAGAAATATTTGAAGGGGGAAAGTATCCCTGGAACTGAACAATAATGACACAAGAAAATCCACTGTTGATGTCAATGAAATTGTCAGGCTAGCTAATGAAACAGGGTTGGATAGTGTAAAATGCAGAATATGGAATTCAGTATTCTGTGATCTGGTTATGTACTTTGAATGAGACAGTCCTAAAGAGTTAGTAAAACAACAAGTATACGAAGACAATGAAGTTAGCTTTTCTGAAGATGGGAAGAAAAAGGAACGAATTCTCTAAAAAAATTTTAGCCTTATATCAGAAATTATGGATGAGTTTATACAAAATGATTCAAATTTTGTTTGAAGTCAAGATGAAGTATCATTGATGTGATGTCTTGCTATCAACAAATAATAGCTGAATGAAACAGGAAAAGGCGAATGAAGTTAGATGACTTCACACACACACACACAACACACAAAAAAAAAAAAAAAAGGAGAGAGAGAGAGAGAACCTTCCTCTTCACAAATATGAATCCTTTACTCAAACTTTACATTAATGTTATATGAATAAAAATCTCTATTAACAATAAATAAATCTGTAGTTAATGTAATAAAAGAGTATTTAGCAATGTGTGTTACAAAATAAAATAAATAAATAAATAAACTGATAAATTTTATTTATTTCTCTTCTGTTTCAGTTATTCCCATTATTACATTATAAGATACTGACATTTAACGCTGTTTCATTTAGCTCTGAAACTTATTGGGATGTATCTCTCACATTAAGAAGAATCTTTCTGTATTATGCACTGTTCTTTAATAAAAAAAAAAAAAAAGTATCATTTCTTATTTGTTTCCTTGTGCTTATTTTGTAATTATTTTTTAGGTTGGGAAAAACAAAGTAGTTCAAACTTTTTAGTTTTGAAAAATCTTACACCACAGGTAAAGTTTTTATTTTTTGACTGAGTTATTCATTGAAATTATTTTGTTGGTATTTTTTTACTCTGTGACTTATATATTAACTGATACCATTTCAATTTCTTTGGCAACTCTAGTACTTTTTGTTCATTGATCTAAACAGTACATTCTGAACAACTAATTTTTTTTAAAAAAAATTCTCTGCATTTTTCTGTTAAATGATTATTCTAACTTACATGTGCCATTTTTAGTTTTACTTGGCAGAATTAATCAGTATTAGATGAATTATATATTTGTTATGCATGTTATAGAACTTATTAGTTTTTATCATGCATTCTCGCTGTTTATCTGTATTTAAAAATCCTGCCCTTCTAAGGCAACCTTTTGTATATATACATCTGTATTTGATAAATGTTAATGAAGGCAATATGCCTCTATCTTGGAAAATTTGAATAGCTTCCATTGTATTTTTAAGTAAATATTAGAGACTCATGATTATACAAGAAATGCTATAAAAATTAAATGTAAATATGCAACATGTGTGATAGCACACTGTTTGCAAGTACTATAATGAAATAAAATAAGTGATCTGTACAGTTTTTAGAAGACATGTACATATAAATACTAGTTATTACTTGTATAGGTGAAAATGTATTACAAGCCCAAGCACATGCCCAAGCTGTGTAAATTTATAAAAAAGAATTGGTAATTAAATTTTTAGCACATTATTTGAATAGAACATCAATGTTGGTGAGAAATCTTTAAATTTAGCTAAGGTATCAGTTAATAGCTATGTGCATTAGTGAATTTTTTCTGTTGTCAACAAAATACAGAATTTGTTTTTCACATTTTAGATTGACGGATCTACTTTAAAGACTTTGTGCCTGCAGCATGGGCCATTGCAGTTATTCCATTTGCTGCTTAACCATGGAATTGCACTTGTGCGTTACTCAACAAGAGAAGAGACTGAAAAAGCTCGTTCTGCTTTAAATAATTGTGTTCTGAGTAACACAACTATACTAGTGGACATTCCTACTGAGATGGAAGTAAAACAATACCTCCAGCTGGCCAGTGGTCAAATGAATTCAAATGTGTCTTGGCCTTCCAGTAATGGAAACAGTGAATCTACTTTTAGTTCAGGGAGTAGCTTCCCAATGAGTGGGACTACTAGTACTACAGGCAATGGGAATACCTCAACTAAAATTGGTACTAATAATTGGAATAGCACAAGTCTAAATCTGCAGAGTTCCAACTTGTGGTCTTTTTCTGGTTCAGGCAGTAGCCTGTGGGCAATGCAGTCATCATCCAGTGAACATGATCAATGTATTCCTTCTTCTCTCAACTCATTCTTGCCCGGTGATCTTTTGGGAGGTGGTGAATCAATCTGACCTGTGTGATCTGTCCATCGAATATTGTGATTTGGTGAGGACCATCTTAAATCTTGTCCCTCTGATGATTGTAAACCTGATTTAGTCTCAAAACATTTACTACTTTCTACTGAAAACTTTTCTTTTGCAGTATTTTTCCGACCATTGCAGAGATTGAGATTTCAGAGAAAACTATCTACAAAACATTAAGGGAAAAAGAAAAATTGTGTGATATTGAGATATAGCTTAATGTTTTAAAATATTCTACTTATAAACTCTGAGAAATGTAGTCCGTTCATGAACGCAAAGTTTTCCATTATGTGATAAACTTACAATTTTACTTTTAAATGTGTTCCCAACTGATATTTACTGCTCCTGAAAATGCTCAGTTGATGAATCGTTGTGTAGATGAATATTGGTGTCATGGTATCAAACATACATTTGTCTAGTATTTTTTTTTTTTTGGTGCCAGGATATCTGTCTGTATAAAGAAATAGAGATATATAATGTAGGATATGTAAATATAATTTCATAGTTACCTTTACAAAAATGCCAAATATGAGAGAACCTCATTAAGCACAGTCAGTGTTTTACTTGCAAACACATCGTGTAGTGTGCATTTAAGCTAGATATATTTAATTATCCCTGTTAAAGTTTGAGCCTGTGTTTTATGGTGTAATGCATTAATAATGCAAGTAAAAATCAATTATTTAATATTGTCTGTGTATGTTGTTTACTTGTGTCGATTTGATAATTACACTATGCTATGTTTTCTCCCTGGTGTGTGAAATTGGCACTTTATTTTTAATTGTTATATTCCTCTATGTTAGTTTGACAAAAATGCCTTTGTAGTATTATCTGTTTTATATGGATCCTTATAGTTGTTTCATTGTTAAGGAGTGAAATTTTTCATATGCTTTTTTGTTATGTGTTTTGTTAAATTGTGTAAATATTAATGACTTGAAATGTGGGATTTGCAGATATTCTGTTTGTTTTTGTTTGATTGAAAATATAAATGTGTATTACTACCAATTTTCTATGCTTTTTAACTTATATTTCATTTCTTCCTGTTTGGATATATATATATATATATCCTTCCCAAGTGCTGTGATCTGTAGATTAGTAATGCTATTTTATAATTTAAATAATATGGTCTTGCCTTCTTTAAGTATTTAGATTATACTGCTAACATGTTTTTACCCCAGTATCTTTTTAAAGTATTTTCCCCTTTTTTTAATTGTGTTCAAATAAAGTCTCTCCTGACGTATTCAATTTTAGCTATAACAAAAATGTTTCAGACATTTCTCTCATCAGAATAAAATTATTTTTAAAATTAATCAGGTCAAGTGTAATTTTACATTTCATATTGAAAGTCTGTTTGCAGTTGCATATATTTTATGGAAATTTTAGGCAAAGCTCAAACTTTATTGGGGGGGGAAAGAAAAAGAAATCTTTTGTTTAAAGTTTTCATTACATAATTGCTACACCTTTGAGAATGCCATGTTCGATGTAAAAAGAAACTGCTGAAATTCTTTAAGAAAATTTTTACTCACTGTATTGTCATTGGCTTCATATTTTAAATTTTATAATTTTTTATGCTATTGATGACATTCACAGTGTGTTCTTCAATAACTAATAGAGTAGGTGCTCTTTGTGCCTTAGAATGTGTAAAAATATAATTTCTTAAAAATTGGTATTTTATCTGCTTTTATACTTCCCATTTTAGTAACCCCTTCCTGTGCTATATTTTTCTAGCCTTTAGGGCCCAAGAGGTCTTTTTTTATAATTTAAAATTGCATATTACTGAGAAAAGTATATTTTTATGGCATAATATGAATTTTTATTTGAAATTATTTTGAAGTTTATATTTCACCGCTTTAGACAAATATGAATTGTTGAAGTGATAATCATTGTATATTGATTTTAGTGTACTTTTTGTGTATTAATTAAAAAAAATCTGGGCTTATTTATTAATCTCAAGTAATACACAGATGTCAAGAATAGTGGTTTTCTGGTCAAATATTGTTAAATTTAACCTAAACCAGACTAATATATATTGCGCAGTTTACAATACACTTTTTCGTTCATGTAGGATTTAGAATTGCCGGGAAGGGGTTAAGATGTGTTAATCTTAACTGTGGTTGCAAAGGAAAGTATTGATTCTAATAAATTCAAGGTATATTTTGGAGATTGAAAATGTAACATTCAAGTGTATTTGTATATGAAGAGATCTGAATTCATTCCATGGGAATATATGTGTGTATGCATAAGTGATGCCATATGTTTCAATGTTAATCAATATCATATTGTTGTTTTTTAATCAATACGTCAAGGAGTGAAATGCTTTACGGATTTTGTCAAAAAAAAATGTGTTTTAATATGAATCTCACTATTCTTAGCTCATGCTTCTTAACAAGTATTGCATCATTTGTTTATCTTTCAACTTTGTGTTTAACTAATCTATCTGTTGATGCAACATCTCTATATTCATTACAGAACAAATCACCGGTATGTTTTAGATTCTGCAAGAGTACTTACAGTTTTAAGGTAGGAAATTTATAAACTTTTACTGGTCTAAAACACTTATCTTCATGATAATTTAATTTTCTTTGTTGAGAAAATGGGATATGACTAACTGGACTATCAGGAAACAAAAAACTGTGGTAGACTGCCTTTCTTAACCATTGGAAACTAAAGTGTTTTCTTGAAAGAATCATCTCTCAAAGTAATGCTTTTTTCAACAGTTGGTTTTATATTCAGATCATTTTTGTGACCATTGTTTAAAGCACAGTATTTATTCAAATTTATACTTATCTTCAGAATTATTTTAATGTGTTTTAGGAGAAATATATTGTTTAAAAGTTTATAGATGTAAAGAAAAACCCATTGACACAAATTGTAAAAGTTGACTAATTTCATCTTATTTTGATATAATATCAGAAGGAACTCTCTTTTATGTAAGAAAAAGAAACATAATGTCATGGAGCATTTTCCTTTGAAATGTATGCTGATCTAAAAATTTTGCCTGCTATATTTCTGCTTCAGTTTTCTAGCTATATCTGAGTTGAGAATAATATGCTAAGCATTTAAATCAAGTTTTCCAGTTGAAGGGTGATTTTATGCCTATTTGTATACCAATTTTGAGAAAGATTACTTAAATAGTGGTTTAATGGTTAAAAGGTAAACTTGGGTATATATTCTACCGTCCAGTCATCATATCTCTTAGTTTTGGGCCGATATGTAACATTTCTACGCATTCTGAAGTGTGCATCACTTGCAACTGAATCAGTCGCATTAACTGAATGGTGCTAGTTCTGTACTTTGTATGTAAAATTGTGCAGAATGACAAACAAGTTCTGTTCCTTTCTCCAGCTTCTATATGCTTGGAACCAATTCACACACATTTTACGTGTGTTGTACATGACCTGTAATAGTTGGTCTATTTCTTGTGATGTATGGTGATTGTTTATTATTGCTTGTTTTTCTTAAAATTCAGTTTGTTTCAGTTGTAAAATTTATTGGAGTGTTTGTAGAGTCTAGTGTGTTTTTGACTTAGTATAATGATGCACTAATGATAAAGAGCTTGATGTTTTTGGATATATATTCATGTTGCCATTGCATTGGAAATTTGTGCACTGCTGAATGTTAGGGTTGATTACTTTGTATATAAAAATTGGAGGTGTTTATTTAGATCACTAAACTTTAAATATATTTTTAGTATGTATAAGCTAAGATGCTGGTATAAATTTGAATACATGCTTCATACACTACTTGTTATTATTCCAAAGACTTGCTTTCCTTTTGAGACTTATGAAAGTACATCTTCTGCATAGTGTTTTAAATTTGCTTTTATGACAGTTTTGAGTGCTAAAGTAAACACTGTGTAATTCATTTATATATTAAGCCAGAATATTTTTTTTTCCAAACTGTTATGTACCTGACTGTATAAAAAGTGTTAAACCTTTTTTAAAAGAAATGTTTCAATATTTTTTGTGTGTACTTAAAAATACTGTTTTATATCTAGAGCTCTAAAAAGTGTTCTGGATTATTTTTATAATTTTCACATGATTTTATCAGGCACAAGTTATAAGTATGTTGATATTTCTGGAAATGAGATATTTTACTAAATGGATTTTAATGAATATTGCAAAATCGTACTAAGATTGTGAATTTCTGTTTGTTGAAATTGTGAAGAAGTCCGTTTTGATAATTATAACTTACATTTAACTTAATATTTTAAAATCATTAATGGAAATGTAAGTTTCTAAGGGGGTTCACATATCAAGAAAATGTTTTAAAAATATGCTGCCAATTTATGTCGTATAGTCTCTAAAATTTTTCTTAAATATAAGTATGTGCATATTACCCACATACATAATTGTATTTAATTTTAGAAATTAGAAACATTTATTCTAAAAAAGAACTAAATTTCCTATTGAATTTAATTTTCAGATTTTATTATATTAACAGATAATGAGGATAAGTAATAAGAAATGCCATAATTTGTTAAGTGTGTGTGTATGTGTCCTGTATAATTATAGAATCTGCGAATATTACCAGAAAATCTCAAGAGCTTTGTTTTTATAGTATGTGTTGTCATTTGTAGACAGTAAGCAGAAATATTCATGAAGATTTCTGAAGTATCAAAGGAACTTTTTAAATCTTTTGATAAGATTTCTTTGCATTTAGTTGGTACACAATAAATTTTAACAAAAAACACCAATAGCAGCATTTAATTTTATTTATACATTGCTATTGCTCCCTGACAATCATTAGAAAATAACAATGCTAGTGAAATCCAAGCACCCTTTGCTCACTGCCCCTGTCCTCACCTATATATTAGTAACATGCTAACTTCAGCAAATTTTACATATGTGAATGTGGTAGTGTTTATTCCTAGTCATGTGTGTTTCAGGGTCAGTCTGGAAATATCACAGAAAATGTGTTTGATCTATGAACATTTTTATTTCTAGTCATACTAGTACCCATAAACAGTCGTTGATGGTGTTTATTTTCTTCCATTTTCATGTTTGTTTATTATTGATGTGCATCATTCTTTTTTCAGCAATTAAATTTATCCCAAAAATACTTGTTAAAAGTTAACTTTTATGTAGAACAGTATTTTTTATTGAAAATCAGAATGTACATTTTTAATATTTGATTGAAATTTCATTTTTTGTGTATCAGTAGAGAATCTGCTTAATTAAATTTCTGATTACAATTATCTCTTTTGTTGTTAAGTTAGTCACTATTTCATATAAACATATGTAAGATAATATTTTGCTGTGTCAGATCAGATTTTTATTTGCCAGATTTTGCCACATTTTTCATTTAAATTAATATTATTAAGCATGTAGTTTATTATTTGACTATAATATAAATGATTGATATTGTATTGGATATCTTTAGTCTACTTTCATTATGATATGAGGATATGTGCATTTTTCAGAATTGTCTACATATAATATATATATATATATATATATATATATATATATCATAGTAGTTTTCTTGAAAATGATTTTGTAGTTTCTTCTTTTGGTTTTGTGTCTGTTTAACTTTTGTTTACTTAAGTGACAGTTCCTACAGTTTTTTTTTTTTAAATTACATAAATCTAGTTTATTAAAACCACATAAATATGTTTACATTTTAAATGAATTTTGTACAACATTGAATGAAAATTTTTCATTATTTGGATAAGTTTAGTATTGATGTTCAAAATTCATCAGTTTTTTTCCTCTGTAACTGGAATCACCTCTAGATTATAATATGTGTGTTGTCATTTCTGATTACTATTAAATAAAAGAAACACTTAAAAATTAGTAAACTGGCTTTCCAAAAGTTAATGTACATGTGATTTTTACGAGATTAAAAATTATTATAGATATATTTGATATATTTCTGGTAGTATTTTCCTACATTCAAATACAGTTTGTTTGCCTGTAAAATTTTTAAGACATAATCAGTGTTACAAATTATTTTTGTCAGTTCCAAATTATGCGGTGTAGGAAACTTACAGTATGAAAATGTTAACATTCTTAAATTCATACTTTTACCATGCAAACTTTCAAAGAACTTTTTTAACTAATTTTTGTGGCAGACTTTCATATCTTCAAAATCAATTTGCTATGTTAACGGTATACCTGTCGAGGCCTATATAAATATTATGGTACTTATACATTCTAACGAACTTAAGTGCTGGTGATGCAATATGTCATAATTGTAATCACTCTCAAGAGGAAATGATTCATCTTGGGCTGTAACCGAAAAGAGACTAATTTTAAAATTTAAGTGGACTCAGAATTGCAGCAGCAATTAAAATATGGTGATGGCAGCATTGCACAATGTTTACAAAGGCACTTTTCTGTAATGTTGTGTCTTTAATAAAGCTCTGATGAAAACCATAATTTGTTTCTTAATTTTAATACAAAATCATCTTGATAAATTATGTAACACAATTAGAGAGGAATGGGAATATTTACAGTTTATTTGTCAAGTAGAGTGTCAGTGAAGGTGATTTTGCATAATTTAAATATACAGAGAGGGCTGAGATTTAGAAATAAAACAAGATTCTCCACATAAAGGTTTATAGCAAATGTTATTTGTCAATTGTTTTCATAGCAGTCTGTAATTTTTCTTGTATAAAATCAAATATAATCTTAAAAAAAAAAAAAAAAAATCATTTTCAAAATTTTTTTTTTTTTTTTTTTTTGAGCATTAGATGTTATGAATTTCATTCTATAGCATTTCTCATCAAAATATGATGTTTTTAAATATAAGTATACTATTTTGATTGTGAATACATGAAATATATGAGAATAAAATTATAATTTGAAGAGAAGGTTATGTTTTTAAATATAAGTATACTATTTTGATTGTGAATACATGAAATATATGAGAATAAAATTATAATTTGAAGAGAAGGTATTTAAAATTATAATTTGAGGAGAAGTTATTCAAATCAATATATTTGAATCAAATTTAGTACACTTGCTTTTAAAAAAAATTATCCACTAAACCATTTTCAGAATTAGTGTAACACCAGAAGTAATTGTAAACTAAAGATGAAATGATTCTAATTCATCTTAGGTGTAATCTTTATTCCTTTCTGTGCAGTGCCTCAGAATTTTAATCCATGAGAGATAGATCTAGAAAGTTAGTGTACATTTAAAGGTCATAAAATCATGAAAATCTTTGGCTTGATAGTTGTGAATCATATAGATTGTGCAAAATAAACCATAGTTCTGCTAGAAAATTTATAGCCTTTTATGGGCCACACTTTGATTCGAAGCTTTGACAGCCATGATCCGATATCTTTAAAAGCTTTCCAAAGGAAGGAAGGGGATCAGTTTGATATGGTTATATTGCTTATAATATCCAACACAATGGCAATAGTGGGGCAAGTTGCATTACCATAGGAATGTAATACCACAGAACAATCTTTAATCCTGTTCACCATTTAAACTTGAACAATGTCTCCCTCCCCATTTAATGAGAAGGAACAAATCATAACAGATCCCTTGAGCGTGTTCAACAAATATTTTTATAGGATCCTTGGTTCTTCCAAGTCCTCACATTGTGTAAGATTATATGTGAGGTCTTAGTGTTCCATGCTTTGTCTCTGGATCTGTCATCTGGAGTTTGATTGGCAGTGATGTTGTTTCACTCGCTGGGACTGTCACTGATAATGTCTTGAACATATTCTTCATGACAATTTTGAAGATATCAATTATTTTACTCAAAACAACAAAAAAGTTTTTTTTTTTTTTTTGGGGGGGGGGGTTGGTTAAGGATCCTGTTTAAGACGGAAGCATTAAACACCACATTGATATATTTTTGTTTTGTATTGCTCTTGTCATTCATTTGAAAGGACTGAATATCGCATTAATGGGTATGAAAGGATTATTGGAATTTCATGTGGTTTAAAATGTATCTTAATTTTTTAATATGAAACAGTATAATCGAGGTATGATTGCTATTTACAAACTAAGAATCTTGCTCATGAGGTCAGTATGCCCCTTCCTTCTCCTTCAAAAAAAAAAAATATTGGTAAGATTTACAATGCTGAGTCTGTAACTATTAGCATTTTATAAAATTCTATATCGTCTTAAAATACTGTTACTGAAAATTATACCCAACATTAGTGTTGAATAAAGGCTATGGTTATTTTATAATAACCTGTTTATGAAATATTTTGAGAATGAATCTTCCTTTGTGCATTTTTTAACTGTTAGAAATTTTAACACATTTTAAAATGACTTGATGAAGGTTGTGTAATGTAAGATTATAGTGCATCAGCATAAATTCAACTTAAATTACCTTTAAAACTTTCCATTTGATATGAGTTTTGAATATATACCACATTTACTCAAAATATAATTTAATACATTGCATAGTATTATTTAAAAAAAAAGTACTAATTACCATGTTTTTTAAACCTACATCTGTTGTAAATCCCATTCTAACTGTGCTGCATAAAAATTTAACCTTAAATATCGTAAAACTGCATAGAATTCAGTTTTAATAAGCTAATAATGCTCAAAAGCTACATGAAAACAGTTTTTCCTTCTTCAGCCCTTATAATGTAGTTTCGGTCTGATACACCGTAAAAAAAGGATAAACTGCCTTGTTGCTTTTGCCAACAACTGTTAGTTTTAGTCTGACACAGCAAATGGAAAGGTAATCTATTCTCGCTGCTTTTGCCAACCACTGAAGCAATCCGAAGATTTTCCTTGTGGCTGAATGTTATTATTTTCATTGCTAGTTAGAAAATTCTCATTTATTTGTAAATTAATTTTTAAATTAAATGAGTTTCCCTGTGTTTAATTTTATATTTATCAATCACTGAAAATGACTTAAGCATGGATCTCGTATCTCCACTGACCATAATTGTTTTCTAAATAATACAAACTTTATCCATAATGTTTCAAAATAAAAGCTGTAATTAAAATTAGGATTCATTAGAAATCATTTTCTTGGGTGGAAAATAGTTTATTGCAGCTTTTACCATAAACTCAACCCATTTGCTGCCTATCACACACTGGCACGTTGTTGATGTTATTGCTGAAGAGCCGGTCATGCTCTGGCGTGTAGTGTGGGATGATGTCTCAGGTGCCAGTCACGCGATGAGTACTGGAAAAGCAACATTGCATTGCTTATTGTGAAGTTCAATTGGCACTATATTTTGAATATGTTTTCTGGTATTGGCATGGAGTGAAGGCTAGAATCTAGTTGCAAATATATGTGTTTTGGAATGGAAACAAAATTTCATTTTATGCAAAGATCATACACAACATTTTGAAATGTACATTTTGTAATATCATTGTAACTATCTTATAGTAAATTCATTTGTAATATATAAATTTGTTTAAGATATACTTTCATGCAAAAATAATGCATATTGTTACTTATTTTGATTCATTTTTAAATGTCATGCACCAGCACATAATGCAACATAGCAGAAATAGTTTTACCTAAAGTGCCAACCATGCGTTGGCGCGTAGTCATAAAATTCTATCCTTAAAGGCTTAAATCAATGTGGTTCACATAATAATCTTTTATTACCTCTTTTAAATCATATATCTTATAATAAGTAAGTCAGCATATGGTTACAATCTATTTCTATTACACAGCATCAACACAACTTCACATGACCAGCAGTAAAAGTGTTATCCAAATATGCATAGTATATAAGAGCCTAACAGGCTTTATTTTAGTTTGGATACTCTGACATGCATTCAGATTAGGCAGCATGTATTGTAATGGAAATACATTCTATATATAATCAAATGAAATTATGGTTTTAGATTCCCAGTATTCATAAAACTTCACTGGAAAAAAAAGTAGACTGTGCAGTAGTGGTAAAATTGCTGAAAATTGGTAGTTTGACCCAGTGGTTACACTGGCTGCATGAGCATTTTCGTGGTTTTCCTCATGTGTAACATAGGTAAGAGCCAGTTTTTTTTTTTTTTTTTTAGAAAGCCTTCCCTTAGGCAGATAGCTTGTATGTATTTAGCTGTAATGAATCAAACCAAACAAGAAAATTTTTTGTTGAC